CTGGGGCGGGGCGAGGGCTGGGCAGCCCCCTCAGAGCCGCCCCCGCGCGCCCGCAGGACCTGAACTGCCAAGAGGAGGAGGACCCGATGAACAAGCTCAAGGGCCAGAAGATCGTGTCCTGCCGCATCTGCAAGGGCGACCACTGGACCACGCGCTGCCCCTACAAGGACACGCTGGGGCCCATGCAGAAGGAGCTGGCTGAGCAGCTGGGCCTGTCCACTGGCGAGAAGGAGAAGCTGCCGGGAGGTGCGGGCTGGGCAGGGTGGGACCTGCTTGTCACCGGTGTCCTGTCCCACGCAGCAGTGTCAGTGACGAGCGCTGTCTGCCTGGCCCCCTGTGGGCGCTCGCCCTGCCCGTGAGGGTTTCGGCCTCCTGTATGTGAGCTTGCACCACCGTAGCTCTGCAGGCCTAGGAGAGGCGGCAGTGCCCGGTGGATCTGTGGCTGGGGCACAGGACTAGGCCCCCTGACCTCGCCCTTACTTCCCAGAGCTGGAGCCGGTGCAGGCGGCGCAGAGCAAGACAGGGAAGTACGTGCCACCCAGCCTGCGGGACGGGGCCAGCCGCCGCGGGGAGTCCATGCAGCCCAACCGCAGAGGTGAGGCCCTGGCCTGGGCAGGCCGCTGGGCACCCTGTAATTACCCTGCGTCGTGTCTGCAGGCACGGGCAGGGCCTTCTCACAGCTGCTTTGCCTGCTCTCCACAGCCGACGACAACGCCACCATCCGAGTCACAAACCTGTCCGAGGACACGCGTGAGACCGACCTGCAGGAGCTCTTCAGGCCTTTCGGCTCCATCTCCCGCATCTACTTGGCCAAGGACAAGACCACCGGGCAGTCCAAGGTGCGTGGACTGGGCACCGGGCAGCTGTGTAGGGCCTATGACCTGGCTGCGGTCTCCACCTGACCCCTGTCCGGTCCCCCAGGGCTTCGCGTTCATCAGCTTCCACCGCCGGGAGGACGCCGCGCGCGCCATCGCCGGGGTGTCCGGCTTTGGCTATGACCACCTCATCCTCAATGTGGAGTGGGCCAAGTAAGACCCCGCCAGGCCCGTCCCCTCCCCTCTGCGGTCACAGACCTGTGTGAAACCATGTCCTGTATTGTCCTTCAGAAACCCTGCAGGCAGTGGCCACACAGGGCCTGTTGGGGGGGGTCCTGGTGTCCTTCAGGTCCCCCCAAGTGACCCCTTCCTGCCTGTCCCCTCTAGGCCTTCAACCAACTGAGCCAGGTGCTGCTGCTGCTGCTGTCCGGGCCCTCGGGGACTCCAGCAGACCCCACGAGCTAGGGGGCTCCTCAGACAGTAAAAGGCTGAAAGCACCTGTCGTGTGTCCTTTCGATTGTCCCCGTCCCCTCCCAGGCTGTCGTGCTGCCGCCATTCTAGCCTGATGGTGGGTGCCACCTTCCGGGAGGAAGTGGCCGAGGGCCTGGGGCCCTCTGGGTCCTCACCGCCCAGCGCCTTGTGAGGAGCAGGCTGGAGACGGGCTGGGTCTCCGGCTCCCCTCCCGGCCCTGAAGCGCTGGGGCTGTG